CAATGTCGGGGTGGGCTCCTAACACCAGTCCTGGGACCGTGTACTAGGCCGGCATGGGGTGGGTAAGCAGAACAGAAATGGGCTGCAGCTACTCTCCCTATGCTTTGAACACCACCTAGTGGTCACCAATACCTGTTCTAGTTGAAGGGCAAGCACATGAACTCATGGCAACACCCCCGCTCCAACACTGGCACCTGCGAGATTACATCATCCTACTTTAGTGCGACCAAAATGAGGAGCTCTTGACCCAAGCTCCACATTGAGATCCGTCCACGCCATCCAAGGAAGGCCCCAAATAAGAGACTCAACTGCAATGCCCTAAAAAATCCAGCTGTCGCTAACAACCTGCGGCATCTCCTCTCCACCAAACTCCCCCCAAACTCTCTAGACTCTCAACACCACATGGACTGAGTTGCGCACAGCCATCCTCAAGGCAGCCTCCGAATTAGTCGGGTACACCAAAAATCGTCACCAAGACTGGTTCGACAAGAACGCTGCCGACATTCACACACTACTACAGAACAAAAGCCAGGCCCACAAAGCCATCCTTTCCAACCCAGACTCCCCCACTCTCCAATCCTCCCTCTCCAAGGCCAAAACAGAGTCCCAGCGTGCTCTCCGTGCCATGGACGATACCTGGTGGGTCCCAAAAGCAGATACGATCCAAAACCTCGAGGACACAAACAACACCCAAGTGTTTTATGATGCCATCAAAGTCCTCTATTGTCCCCAAAAACAAGCCATCACCGTGGTCAGGTCTATTGATGGAAACACGCTTTTCAAGGACCGCCAAAAGATCTTGGAGAGATGGGAGGAGCACTTTCATAACCTCCTCAACCACACCGACATCATCAACACACTCACAGATATCCTGCCCTTCATGAACTCGACACTCCACCAAAAATTTCTGAGGTCTACCAGGCAGTCAAAAGCCTGAAAAAGAAGAAAAGTGCTGGACCCAACAGCATCCCGGCTGAGATCCTGAAGCATGGGGGATACTTCCTCCTTTGCCGCTTGCACCTTCTCATCAAGTCCATCTGGCTGTCCGAAACCATCCCACAGGAATGGAAGGATGCAAATATTTTAGTTATCTACAAGAAGAAGCGTGGCAAAGTGGCTTGTGGCAACAGCAGAGGTATCTCCCTCCTTTCAATTGCCGGGAAGGTCCTCGCCATGATAATGCCTCTACCGGCTCGCAGAGCACCTATCCAAAAAATACTCCCAGAATCCCAGTGCGGCTTCAGGAAATGCGGGAGCACTACCGACATGATCTTTATGGCAAATCGACTGCAGGAAAATCTGTCGGGAGCAAAACAAAGACCTCTTCATAGCTTTTATCAACCTCACCAAAGCATTCGACACCATCAACAGCGATATACTCCGGCGGCAGCTTATCAAACTTGGGGTGCCTCCCAAGTTTCGGAGCATTCTAAAATAGTTCCATGAAGGAATGCATGCCAGAGTGGTGCATTGTGGGCTTCAATCAGAGGCCTTCAACGTGGAGGTTGGGTCAAGCAAGGCTGTATTCTGGCTCCAGTCATATTCAGCATGCGTCTTGCTGCCATCACAAGCCTGTCACACGACAGAATCCGGCTACAGTACCGTCTGGATGGAAATCTCTTCAACCTAAGACGCCTCCAAACCCACACAAAAAAAACTGCAATATGCACATGACTGTGCACTCCTGGCTCACACCCCAGAATCCATGCAACACACCCTCAAGCTGGTCTCCTCCTTCTACTGCTCCGTCGACCTCCAAATGAATACACAGAAGACGTAAATTATTGCTCAATTGTGATCCGTGTCCACCTCACTTCCTACCTTCAACATGGATGGTGTTCACCTCAAATTGGTACCCCATGTCAACTACTTTGGTTCTGACATCTCCCCCTACGTGCTCCCGAGACGATGAAATCCACACTCGCATCAATAGAGCCTCCGCTTCCTTTGGACGCCTCCGGGCCAGGGTCTTCGAAAACAGTAACCTCAAGACCCACACCAAGGTGGCAGTTTAGAACGCTGTTTGTGTCTCCACTCTGCTTTATGGCTCAGCGGCCTGGACCCCATATAGGCAGCACATCAACATCCTGTAAGCCTTCCACATCAGATGCCTCCAGCGCATCCTAGGGCTAACCTTGAAGGACAAAGTATCCCGCACTGAGATCCTCACCAACACCAAGTCGTCCTGCATTGAGGCAAGCATGGCTAAACGACACCTCCGCTGGTTCGGCCACGTGATCCGCATGGCCTGATTACCGCCTCCCCCGTCGAGTTCTCTACGGCCAAATCAGCACAGCCAAACCCTCTGCTAGAGGACAGAAAAAGCGCTTCAAGGACCACAGCAAGGACCTGCTGAAGCGCTGTAACATCAAACACTCCAGCCTGGAGCCCCTGGCGCTGGACAGGTCCACCTAGTAGTCCACCTGTGCCAGAGGGGTTCAGAAACTGGAAGACACCATCTCACAGAGTAGATGTGAGAGACGCCCCCAGAGACACCAACACAAAGCTGGGTTAACGTCACCCGACATCCAACACACGTGTCCCAGCTGCAGCAGAGTGTGTGGCTATCGCATTGGCCTCCACAGCCACATGACGTGGCACGAGCACCAAAGGCGCTAACCCATCCCAATCCCTCATCCACAAAAGAAGCAACGTCATCATCGTCATCGATGGACAGCCAAGGAGGTTGTAGTTGTCTCGGTGTTGGTGTCTATGGGATGCGGTAGTGTAGCGGTTTGCTCGCTGCACTACGAACCCGGCGACCTGAGTTCGATTCCCGTTCACGGCCAACACCAGTGACCATTACCTGAATCGGCCCAGGGCCTCCCCTAGGTCGACTTAAAGCCTCAAATGGTGAGGTGTGTAAATATCGACACTGGGGAGACAAAGGCGGGCGGGCGTGGTGCTGGCCACCAACCTCCTCGTGTGCCGTGCCGGCCTTTATAGGTGCTCGCTAATGACACTTTCCCCAACAGTCTGTTACAGGCTATACGGAGGAACTTTGTCTTTGTTTGTCTATGATGCTGGTGACCAACGCTAATGGTTCATTAGGAGCTGGGACATTACATCACAGTCGGCGGTGATGGTTCACGCCGGCCCCGATGTTTGGCAGGTGCTGAACAATCAATCAATTTGGCAGGTGCTGAACAATCAATCAAAGGTGAGGCACAAAACGTGGCTTGTGGAATCAACACTTGCTTACAAAATCGGCTACAAGCGAAGTTCACAGTTATACCTCAAAATACGAGGTAGATGCGTTCCTGGAGCTTTGTATATCGAAACTTCGTATTCTCAATACCTTATAACATTAGTACTCTGAGGATGCGTTCCCAGCCTGCGTAACTTACCATTTAAAACTATAAACACATTAAAATTCAAAATAAACTGACACAAGTTAAAGATACGTAATGTACTGTATCGTAAAATATATTTTACACTCACCAGTAGTGTTTGGTGCAGTCACGAGGTTGTATTGCCACAGCTCCGTCATAGCGCGTTGCTGTGCTTTGATTGGCCGAGGCGAATGCAAACAAACTTTCTATGACCCATCGCGATACGCAAAGGTCAACAAACATAATTACATTCCTATTCATGTAATATTGCAGATTGCTATATTTTTTTCGTTTCAGTGTACAACATTTGTTATTTTACTTAATTAGTTACGATTAATATCATACTAAAGTAATACATCCAAAATTCGTGATACTGAAACTTCGTACATTGTATATTCGCATGTCCAGGTATTACCGCATTCCCTTATAGACTACACTTGTATAGTCAAGAATGATCACACTCAGGATTATCTTGTAACAGTAAAAGTAATTGGTTATGAAAAACATGGAATGCACAACCGTAACACGCAGCTGTACAGCAGCACAACCATGGATCCCCCACACTGCACAGTACAATAAAACAGGCCTCTTGAAACATGACAGTGTAGTGTGGCAGTTTTACACCCAAGGCGGACCGACATGCTTGTTTGTGTTTAGTTTGTTATCCTTCCCCCGCATCTCCGACGAGCACAGTTGGCTACGTACAGTGCGAAAGAAGTTCAACATACATGTGCAGTGTCAATGATTCGGAGACGAGGTTTGTAGGAGGCGCTTTATTAACGTTCACGGTCTCGTCCACACACTCCCCACAGGCGCTTCGCCTCGCCTGTACACAACACTGGCCGTCTAACACTGACGGTGCTGACTGAGACAGCCAACAACTATCCTGCAGCGCAATATCTAGCGAAGACGGCAGCGACGACGGCGACGAGACGACAGCGATGACGGCGACGAGTCCAATCCCAGGACCGGCAGCCTCGAGCTCCTTGTATCCTACCAGCGCGGCCTGGCCCCGCTCTGACCACGCCTTCCTTCTCGAACCTACTAGCAGGTTCCAGGGGCCTCCAGATGTGTAAGGGTCCACGACCCTTGCCCTAGTTCTTCCGCTCTGCCAACACACCCGTGCACACGCTCACCGGCGTGAGCGCTGCCGCTGGTGTCCACCAGCTGGCGCTATGACACTACACATGCAACATACACCGGCCTGACCAAATACAGTTATCTTGAAATCTCTCCATGGACTTTCCTCACCTCGTTCACAATTTTCTTTCTCTCTGTCCCTCCTTTTCTGCCTGTGCCCAATCATATTTTCGATCTTTGTCCCTCCTTTCACACTTCCACTAGAATCAACGTCTCATATACACTAAGCAGTCCCCCTGCTTAACCACGTTTCTTTTCCCTCTTAAAGCTCACCTCTTCTCTATGTGTAATTCCCTTTCTCGTCTCTCCCCTCGCCCCCCCACTCCTTCCCATCCCTCCCCTGCCCCTCCAAATACAACAGCAGCAAGGTGTTCTCAGTGATGCTCAAGCTGGAGAGGACGGTTTGGACCCTCAAATGCTATTCCCATTTATAGAGGGGGTACAGCTGCTCCCCCCACTGCCCCCCCCCCCTTTTATGTCACGGCCAACCTTCCATGAGTGTCCGCCCGTTTTGTGCCGCGGGCGCAGCTCGTCGTGGAGGCGCGGATCTACGGGGTGATGGGCGCCGACGGAACTATCTCCAACCTCACCAATTGGGACTACAACAGTGCCATCTTCTTTGCAGGGACCGTCGTCACCACCATTGGTACGCTGGGGGGCCCTCGGGGCGAGGGCCATCCATGCTATGAACCTGGCCACCTGAGTTAGATTATCGGTTTTGGGCATCCTATTATCTTATATTTATAGAGCACCTTAGCTCAAGGCACCTCACATAGTTTGATAGCGGTAACACAAATCAACTGATTTAGATGGCAAGGGGTGTGCAAAGGCAAAGAGGCGAAGAATGAGGGATGGGAAGGAGTGGAGGGGGGAGAATAGGAAAGGATTGGGAAATGGAAAAGAGGTGAGGCCTTAAAGAGAGGAATGCAAGGAGGTTAAGGAGGGGGATTTCTCAATGTGCAGGGGACGTGAATTCTCGTGGAAGGGTGCAAGGAGGGAGAAATATCGAAAACGGGATTGGGCACAGGGAGGAAAGAGATACATAAGATTGTGAGCGAGGTAGGTAAAGGCCATGGAGAGATTTAAAGACGAGTATACGGTATTTAAAAAGACAGTGGTGTAGTAAAGGTGAAATCAGTGATGTTGAATGAGGAGAGGTGAAGTGTGAGAATTAAATGGGAGATTCTAAATAACGAGAATTGGGGTTTCCCCTTTTTCTGGCAACAAAACAGGTGTTAAGTTGTTAAAACACCAACTGCCTTTTTGGCATACCTCTGGTCTAACACCGTTTGAGACGAGGCTCAAAAGAAAGCTGTCTCTGGTGTGGACCAATCAGTTTCAAAGACAATGCATATATCAGAGTATGTTTTTTGTTTGCATTCTGACCACAAGTTTTGTGGTTAATGCAGACATGATTCGTTTTCAAAGGTTTCAGTTTGGTGTTTTAACTTCTTAACACATGTTTTGTTTCCAGAAAAAAGGGGAAAACCCTATTCTCATATATTGGTACTGGCAAAGGAGGTCCCATGATTCAAAATAACTTTTCCAGAAACATTTGTAATTGTTGGAGGGAAGTGAGGGTATAGGCAGGGAGACCGAGGAGAAGAGAATTGCAGCAGCAGTCCAGATGGGTAAAGATCAGACACTCAATCAGGAGGTAATTCAGTTAGAATTTGTTGTTGTCCTTCCCCCGCGTCTCCGATAAGAACGGTTGGCGGGAGACTCGCCACTGCATTGTGTCGCTTGTTCTGTAAATTTACAAAGACAATCCAACATTGGATGCACATGGCCATGTTTCATGAATCCGATGCCCCTGGAGCACCTTTGGGCCTAAGCAATGCCAAATTATGGTTTTGTATACACCCCCTCCAACCTCCAGGCTATGGGAACTTGTCCCCCGCCACCGTGGGGGGCAAGGTGTTCTGTATCATCTTTGCCACCTTCGGGATCCCGCTCAACGTGGTGGTGTTGAACAAGGTTGGCCAGGTCATCCTGCGTGGCCTCGACTGGATCGCGGAAGTCTTGAGAAAAAAGGGGCTCAAAAAGGTACGGACGGGGGTGCCTTAATTAGTGTCCAACATCCACCTACATTCTCTCACGCACAAACATTGTATCATCCGCCCACACCCAACCACCCAAACCCCTCCACTGACCCAGACCCAACCACTCAAACTCCACCACTGACCCAGCCCCAACCACCCAAACCCCTCCACTGACCCAGCCCCAACCACCAAAACCCCTCCACTGACCCAGCCCCAACAACCCAAACTCCACCACTGACCCAGCCCCAACAACCCAAACTCCACCACTGACCCAGCCCCAATCACACAAACTCCACCACTGACCCAGACTCAACCACCCAAACTCCACCACTGACCCAGACCCAACCACTCAAACTCCACCACTGACCCAGACCCAACCACTCAAACTCCACCACTGACCCAGACCCAACCACTCAAACTCCACCACTGACCCAGACCCAACCACTCAAACTCCACCACTGACCCAGCCCCAACCACCCAAACTCCACCACTGACCCAGCCCCAACCACCCAAACTCCACCACTGACCCAGCCCCAACCACTCAAACTCCACCACTGACCCAGCCCCAACCACTCAAACTCCACCACTGACCCAGCCCCAACCACCCAAACTCCACCACTGACCCAGACTCAACCACCCAAACTCCACCACTGATCCAGCCCCAACCACCCAAACTCCACCGCTGATCCAGACTCAACCACCCAAACTCCACCACTGACCCAGCCCCAATCACACAAACTCCACCACTGACCCAGTCCCAACCACCCAAACTCCACCACTGACCCAGTCCCAATCACACAAACTCCACCACTGACCCAGACTCAACCACCCAAACTCCTCCACTGACCCAGTCCCAATCACACAAACTCCACCACTGACCCAGTCCCAATCACACAAACTCCACCACTGACCCAGCCCCAATCACACAAACTCCACCGCTGATCCAGACTCAACCACCCAAACTCCACCACTGACCCAGCCCCAATCACACAAACTCCACCACTGACCCAGCCCCAACCACCCAAACTCCACCACTGACCCAGCCCCAACCACCCAAATTCCACCACTGACCCAGCCCCAACCACCCAAACTCCACCACTGACCCAGCCCCAATCACACAAACTCCTCCACTGACCCAGTCCCAATCACACAAACTCCACCACTAACCCAGTCCCAATCACACAAACTCCACTACTGACCCAGCCCCAATCACACAAACTCCACCACTGACCCAGCCCCAATCACACAAACTCCACCACTGACCCAGTCCCAATCACACAAACTCCACCACTGACCCAGTCCCAATCACACAAACTCCACCACTGACCCAGCCCCAACCACTCAAACTTCACCACTGACCCAGCCCCAATCACACAAACTCCACCACTGACCCAGCCCCAATCACACAAACTCCACCACTGACCCAGTCCCAATCACACAAACTCCACCACTGACCCAGACTCAACCAACCAAACTCCACCGCTGACCCAGACCCAACCACTCAAACTCCACCACTGACCCAGACCCAACCACTCAAACTCCACCACTGACCCAGACCCAACCACTCAAACTCCACCACTGACCCAGACCCAACCACTCAAACTCCACCACTGACCCAGCCCCAACCACCCAAACTCCACCACTGACCCAGCCCCAACCACCCAAACTCCACCACTGACCCAGCCCCAACCACTCAAACTCCACCACTGACCCAGCCCCAACCACCCAAACTCCACCACTGACCCAGACTCAACCACCCAAACTCCACCACTGACCCAGCCCCAACCACTCAAACTCCACCACTGACCCAGCCCCAACCACTCAAACTCCACCACTGACCCAGACTCAACCACCCAAACTCCACCACTGACCCAGACTCAACCACCCAAACTCCACCACTGACCCAGTCCCAATCACACAAACTCCACCACTGACCCAGACCCAACCACTCAAACTCCACCACTGACCCAGACCCAACCACTCAAACTCCACCACTGACCCAGACCCAACCACTCAAACTCCACCACTGACCCAGCCCCAACCACCCAAACTCCACCACTGACCCAGCCCCAACCACCCAAACTCCACCACTGACCCAGCCCCAACCACTCAAACTCCACCACTGACCCAGTCCCAATCACACAAACTCCACCACTGACCCAGACTCAACCACCCAAACTCCACCACTGACCCAGTCCCAACCACCCAAACTCCACCACTGACCCAGTCCCAATCACACAAACTCCACCACTGACCCAGACTCAACCACCCAAACTCCTCCACTGACCCAGTCCCAATCACACAAACTCCACCACTGACCCAGTCCCAATCACACAAACTCCACCACTGACCCAGCCCCAATCACACAAACTCCACCGCTGATCCAGACTCAACCACCCAAACTCCACCACTGACCCAGTCCCAATCACACAAACTCCACCACTGACCCAGCCCCAACCACCCAAACTCCACCACTGACCCAGCCCCAACCACCCAAATTCCACCACTGACCCAGCCCCAACCACCCAAACTCCACCACTGACCCAGCCCCAATCACACAAACTCCTCCACTGACCCAGTCCCAATCACACAAACTCCACCACTAACCCAGTCCCAATCACACAAACTCCACTACTGACCCAGCCCCAATCACACAAACTCCACCACTGACCCAGCCCCAATCACACAAACTCCACCACTGACCCAGTCCCAATCACACAAACTCCACCACTGACCCAGTCCCAATCACACAAACTCCACCACTGACCCAGCCCCAACCACTCAAACTTCACCACTGACCCAGCCCCAATCACACAAACTCCACCACTGACCCAGCCCCAATCACACAAACTCCACCACTGACCCAGTCCCAATCACACAAACTCCACCACTGACCCAGACTCAACCAACCAAACTCCACCGCTGACCCAGACCCAACCACTCAAACTCCACCACTGACCCAGACCCAACCACTCAAACTCCACCACTGACCCAGACCCAACCACTCAAACTCCACCACTGACCCAGACCCAACCACTCAAACTCCACCACTGACCCAGCCCCAACCACCCAAACTCCACCACTGACCCAGCCCCAACCACCCAAACTCCACCACTGACCCAGCCCCAACCACTCAAACTCCACCACTGACCCAGCCCCAACCACCCAAACTCCACCACTGACCCAGACTCAACCACCCAAACTCCACCACTGACCCAGCCCCAACCACTCAAACTCCACCACTGACCCAGCCCCAACCACTCAAACTCCACCACTGACCCAGACTCAACCACCCAAACTCCACCACTGACCCAGACTCAACCACCCAAACTCCACCACTGACCCAGTCCCAATCACACAAACTCCACCACTGACCCAGACTCAACCACCCAAACTCCTCCACTGACCCAGTCCCAATCACACAAACTCCACTACTGACCCAGTCCCAATCACACAAACTCCACTACTGACCCAGCCCCAATCACACAAACTCCACCACTGACCCAGCCCCAATCACACAAACTCCACCGCTGATCCAGACTCAACCACCCAAACTCCACCACTGACCCAGTCCCAATCACACAAACTCCACCACTGACCCAGCCCCAATCACACAAACTCCACCACTGACCCAGTCCCAATCACACAAACTCCACCACTGACCCAGCCCCAATCACACAAACTCCACCGCTGATCCAGACTCAACCACCCAAACTCCACCACTGACCCAGTCCCAATCACACAAACTCCACCACTGACCCAGCCCCAATCACACAAACTCCACCACTGACCCAGCCCCAATCACACAAACTCCACCACTGACCCAGCCCCAATCACACAAACTCCACCACTGACCCAGTCCCAATCACACAAACTCCACCACTGACCCAGTCCCAATCACACAAACTCCACCACTGACCCAGCCCCAACCACTCAAACTTCACCACTGACCCAGTCCCAATCACACAAACTCCACCACTGACCCAGCCCCAATCACACAAACTCCACCACTGACCCAGTCCCAATCACACAAACTCCACCACTGACCCAGTCCCAATCACACAAACTCCACCACTGACCCAGTCCCAATCACACAAACTCCACCACTGACCCAGCCCCAATCACACAAACTCCATGACTGACCCAGACCCAATCACACAAACTCCACCACTGACCCAGCCCCAATCACACAAACTCCACCACTGACCCAGCCCCAATCACACAAACTCCACCACTGACCCAGTCCCAATCACACAAACTCCACCACTGACCCAGCCCCAATCACACAAACTCCATGACTGACCCAGACCCAACCACCTAAACTCAACTACCCATTCTCCATCACCTTGACTTCCAAAACCGAAGCCGAATTCTGCTCCAATGCCCGAGCTCCTCTACACCCAAAACTCCATACCACCTCTTCTGCTCCTCTTCCAGAGCTCAATCCGGCTCCTGACCACGATGGCCTTCGTGGGCCTGGGGTTCATGATCTTCGTGCTCTTCCCAGCCGTAATCTTCATGGCGGTGGAGGGGTGGAGCTACACCGAGAGCTACTACTTTTCCTTCGTCACACTCAGCACCATCGGCTTCGGGGACTACGTGGTCGGTGAGGTCACCACTTCCTCGTCGTGAGCCGTGGGCCGTGGGCAGGGGCTACCACCAGAGATCGGCCGAGTGCTAATGGTGTGGTGGCTGCGGTTATAAATCGGGTTAGAGTTCGGGTCAGGGATGAAGTTAAGGTTAGAGATACCGCAGCTCTCATAGGGTGAAATTTATTAACATGTTTGGTTTGACGGCCGCCCCCATTAAAGACCACCAGTGCCCCTTCCTCCCGCCTGTCTTCAGCACTGGTTTCATGTTGTGCACTAGTGTATTTAGTATTAGTAAGGCACTGGTTTCACGTTGTGCACCAGTGTGTTTAGTGTTAGTAAGGCACTTTTTTCACATTGTGTATCAGTCTGTTTGGTGGCGCTAACTCTCCCCACACACATAAAAATCTTAGCCATGGCATAGCCTGCACCCTCCTACCCCTCCAACTTCTGCTCAATAACTCCGGTTCACATCCCAGTCCCCGCGTGATCCCCCCTGCCATGCACTTTCTCCTTTATTTATAGCCCACTGCTCCTCCTCCTCTCTCCTCGCCATGGACACTCAGAAAGAGAACGCGGTGGTAATGAGCAGCCCGCAAGGCTCCAATTTGGCAACAGAGCGGGTCCCCAGTTCCAGGTTCATTCCGAGGTTTCCTGTTCCGGCCCACAGGAAGCAACCCGAGTGTCCACTACACGCCGCTCTACAAGACCATGGTGGCCATGTGGATCATCTTTGGCCTCGCCTGGCTCTCCGCAGTCTTCAACGCCATCACCGCTCTGCTGGAGCGTGTGGGCAAGGGCCTGGCGAGACGGGACCGAAGGGACCTCGGCTCGGAAGGGGGCATTGCTATTGTGGACCCTGGCCACCCTAGCCATGGAGATACAACGGGAGACCATGGACAGATGGGGGAGATGGGGAAAGAAATCCACCAGGTCCCCAATTCTGGAGGAGAAACAGGAGGAGGAGGCCCTATTCCAGGAGTGAGCACAGAGAAAGGGGCCATCAAGGACCCTGGTCCAGGAGGTGGTACGGAGAAAGATGACCTCAAGGACTCTGGTCCAGGAGGTGGTACGGAGAAAGGGGACCTCAAAGACTCTGGTCTAGGAGGGGATACAGAGAAAGGGGACCTCAAAGACTCTGGTTCAGGAGGGGATACAGAGAAAGGGGACCTCAAAGACTCTGGTTTAGGAGGGGATACAGAGAAAGGGGACCTCAAAGACTCTGGTCTAGGAGGGGATACAGAGAAAGAGGACCTCAAAGACAATGGTCCAGGAGGGGATACAGAGAAAGGGGGCCTCAAAGACCTCGGTTCAGGAGGGGGTTCAGAGAAAGAGGACCTCAAGGACTCTGATCCAGGTGAGGATACAGAGAAAGGGGACCTCAATGCCTCTGGTCCTGGAGGGGGTGTGGAGAAAGGGGACCATGGTCCTGAAGGAGGTATGGAGAATGGGGGCTCTGTGGGCAGTGATACCCCTGACAAGCCCAACCTCGCTGAGGCACAAACAGAAAGGGACGACATTTAAGCATGGACGTAAGAGGTGGAAACCACGTGGGTGGAGATCCTAGCGTGTGTTGTATATGTTGGTTATCAAAATTTGTTATGTTGTATGCGTGCGTGGGTGAAATTATTATGTTGTATATGTGGGTTATGAATATTCAGTGAAAATAATAATAATTAAATGAAATTTGGCCAAATGTGTAATTATCCGGAAATATGTTAATTTATGTAATTATGCACATTTTAATTATGCCAATTCGAGAGGTAATCGTATTAATTATGCGAGTGGGTGTAATTATGATAATGCAAGTCGTTATGATAACCAGACCCCGCCTCGGTGATCAGGGTGGGTTATCGATCGGAATAAGGCAATTAATCGTATGCAGTTATGCAGGTGTGGTGTAAGTATGCAAGATTGACTTAGATTAACTCGGCATCGTTGTCTAGGTTCGTCTCATTCTCGCTTTAACATTCCCAGAGTGTGTATTCGTGGTTATATTTTAGGTCCCCGATTCACCCCGTTATCGCTTTAACATTTACTGAGTATGTGTTAGTGTGTTTATTAAGGTCACCAAGTTCAGATCTCAACGCAGAAGCAGATCTTATGCATAGATTTCAGGAAAGAATCACACAACCACTTCTGTATTGATCAATTTATTACTAATTCAACCTTAACTATGATATAGTATGCGAACTCTCAATCCCGGAACGTCAACACGGCATCAATACAGTATCATCAACGATTGTCTGATTTCACTTTGACAACGGCACATGGATCCCGCATAACGCGATGGTTGTTAGTGAGAGAGAGAGTCGTTAAAATATGCAAATACTAAGCTAAGAAAACCTTAACGTTAATGAATGATTATACTCAATATTGTTCACGCAGTACCGCACTCCTTATTGATCATACGCAACCCTTATCACGTTGTTAGCACCTTGGGTCACGGGACAGTTGAATATTCTGTAGAGGATGCGAGTACGTGCGGCGATTATGACTGAAAGATACTTGAAAGATTATACGGCAATAAAAAAAAAACACAATCAAAAACAGTTATTATTCTTAAAGGCATCAATCTCAACAGATACATCGGCAGGTTATCTGACAACAGAACGGCTCGGAGTAAGGGCCTGCGACGGTGCTCCTTTTCCGAAGATCGTTATCTTATACCAAGTTTACTAATTGGGGACCAGATCACCTGATAAGGATCCGGTGGGCCACCACTCCCCACGTGAGCGTGGCTCGGCGGAAGGAGGTGCCAAGAATTAGTTCGTATTGATGGATCTGTTGGGAATTTATGCGATTAAGAGTACAGCCCACTAAATTTTAAAGATAAAAATTACGAATACTTTTATAAACGACGGATGGCCATCACTCGGTCTCGTTGTGATGCCTTCCCAGCCACAGATGGCTTATGGGTTCGAGTGTGTTTGAGTGGTAAGAGTTGTCTTGAATGGTCAGTGTTCGGAGTCGATTCTTTATGTCAAACAGACGCCTGGTGGTCGTGTGGTGAGGGGGCGGTGCGCGTCATACGTATCAGTCGCTCCCCTGTCACCGTGGTGAACTGGTTCGGATGCCCGTTGATACGCTGTCGCAGTTCGGAACCCGGTCGGTAGGTGGCGCCCACAACTCGCTCGCAGTGTGCAGTGTTGGGTCGTCGTGTGCACGGAGCCTCGTCGCCAAACCGCGACCCTCACCACTCCGGCGGCAGCAGAGACCTCCGACTCGGCAGAGGTTGACCCACGCAGGCCGAGTTGAGCTGTCAAGCGGGTCTTGCCCGCCTGCAGAGGAGATGGGGAGCCGCTTGAGTCGAGCCCCGAGAGCCGGCTTTGGTAAGCCGATCGAACTCGGCTGAGTCCCAGACGAGCTGAAGATGAGTCGAGCCGACTCGCTGGTCGCACTCGCTCCTGAGCCGACCCTCCCGGTCGAGCTCGCTCCTGAGCCGACCCGCTGGTCGCACCCCCCACGTGAGCCGACCCGCTGGTCGCACCAGTTTCCAATGCTCAGGATCCTTTCCTTTATGCCGAAAAATCCCCCTGGATCCCGCCCACAAGGCGGGGCTTCTTTCGATTTTTGCTGTGTCAGGATCTGTCCGTAGGCAGGTGTGTCCATGTGTGTGTCCGTACGGTATATTCCGTTGTCACACTCCCTCCATAAAACCCACGAGCAAACAATCAGATGTTACAAATTGCCTCGAAGTCGTCTCTCTGTCTGGGTGCAATATTATCTCTTGTCTGGCCTTCTTCATGAACCCAAAACACAGACGTTACAAATCGTCTCATAGGCGTCTTTGTTCGTGTTGCACAACCTGGAGGGAGGGGCAACACTCTCTCCGACCCGGCGCACAAAGAAATGGTTAAGAAGTTTTAAGTTAACATTTGTCCCTTACTATTTCACAGTTATGATTCTGTATGTAACCTAAGGTCTGTCGTTTCCCATCGTGGTGCTTGACTCAAGTGGAGGTGTTTCCCCGAGCGTATACACACTCCTATCCCGCGCTGCGGGGATACAAAGACGGCCGGGATCTCCCTTTCTCTCCGACCCTGGGTTTAACATCGTTTTTTTAAATTATGTATTTATATTCGACCTGGTGGTGATTCATCCCGTTATCCTGGCTTTTCCATAAGTTTTACTTTTGTCTTTTCATGCATATGCTTATTACTATTAATTTATTTCCGATATCTTAGGTTAAGGGGTAAGTTTCTTGATCCTAGGAATTCGTATTCCTTGGTGTCTGCATGGTTATATAAGCGGAATATAGTTTACGGTGAATAGCGTTAACATTGATGTTATGTACGATATTATGTATTGTGATGTCTTTAACTTAACTTGTTTGTCAGGGCTTTACTGACACGAAGTTGCATTCCATAGCCCCGCAGTCTTTGCCCCACCCTATCTCTGCTCGCCGTGGTTGTTGCTGTCCAGCTGACGCCGTTAACTCAAGGCCTCATTAATTTCCGTCACTCCTTGTAGGTGAGGGCGGTTGAACCTTGGAGTCAGTTCTGGTTTTTGTCTGCCTGCTTCTTCTTGTGTCCCCTGACCCCGGGAGTTATTATTTCTACTTTTATGGCCTGTCGAAGCCCGACTCGCTGTTGCTGGGCTGGTGTCGTTCCCGGCTTTTTGCTTACGTTTGCAGTTCGCTGTGCTCTTAATTTCCTTCCCTCTTCAACCTTAAATCGACTATTCGCTCCTGTCTGGGTGCGATTCAATTTTGACTTAGGAAGGTTCTGATTGTCATATGCTTCGGGTCGAGTTGTATAGAAAGTATTAAAGTATGGAAATAACATTTCATATTGACTTAATGATGGTGATGGTTCAGTAGGCGTAACTTGTGGCCTGGTTTAATTGGAGTGGGTGTGAATATCAATAACTTTAGCCTACCCTGTTGTTAAATTCCGACTTTAACGTTACTTTAATAGCAATACAGAATAATTGAGCTTTTTGTCTTAACTAGGCGAACGCGAACTTCTGGTGACCCCCGCAGCCTTGTTGTTCAGCTGGGTCTGCCTCCTTGAGAGATATACAACACTCTTATTCTCCTCACTGTGGCCATCCAACCTTCTGCTCTGGGAGTGTTATTCTTAATTTCAGGTCAAAGGCCCCCTCACGTTCAGACGTGCAGGGTTGTTTAAATCAGCTCCCTCCCCTGTGCACACAGCCTTGAGCTGACCCACTTATTTTCGTTCCCTCAGCTACAGGAGGACAAGGCGTACTTCTACCTCCCCCCTGTGTGCACGTGTTCTAACTAGCTCGGAATCCCTAAACACACAATCAGTGATGATTCCTGGCTTTCTGTGGTTGTGATTTAGACAAAGGCGCCTCTGCTTTCTTCCATTGCCTTTGAGTCGACACTGCCCTATTATTTGCCCATGTGCTGAGGTCATAGAATTCGTTTTGACTTCAGTAATATTAACATTCAGTATTGGATTAGCAAATGGCAATGGTTCATTGATGTAGCTCGCAGCCTGGTCTCCAATTTGAGCGAGCGCGAGGATCGATACTTTAGCCTACTCTGTTGTTGAATTTCGAATTTTGACGTTACTTTAAAACCATGCAGGATGGTTGGGCTTTTTGCCTTAACTATGTCTGGCTGACACTCCCACTGTCTCTGCCGCCTGCACGGGTGACATGTGCCCGTTCATCAGGCCTTATCTTTCCTTGAAGCAAGGTTGCAAATTCTGCCATCCTAGCCCTCCTCCAGTTCATTACTTAACAACACCTGGTGTTTTGCAGTTTGCTGCGCTTTTGGTGTGTTTCATTCATTAAAAAACAAGTAAAAAGATAATATATAAAAATATCATCAAATATTATTAATCTCAATTTTGGAAGAAGGGTTAGTATACAACATTCCGCCCTTTTAAAAATGACCAGTGGTCAAATGGCCACGGGTTATTTTTAAAAAAAAATGTATACCCTTCTTCCATCATGAACCATCGATTGTCCTCAAGTTTTGCTGCTATTCTTTACAACGCGCGCGTACGTGTCACAACTTAACATGGTTATATGTGACAAGAGAGAGAAAGAAAAAGGAAAAAAAAAATTCTAAAGGAAGGTAAAACGATAAGGGAGGGAAAAATTATTCTATTGACTACGTGTTATAGGAGATATCGTTAAAAAAGATAGTTTTTACGGTTATTCTTGGGTGGCATCATCAGGCCTTGGCTCTATCCCTGTTCCTGGGCTTGAATGGTAGGTGGCTTGTCCCTGCGATTAGTCTTTTAAGTTCGGCATTCATTTTGGCCACATGGTATGTTAAGGTTAGAATAGCCAGGACTAGTATGATCATCCCTGTTGCCCCTGTGATTCCCATCCCCATCTGTTGATTTCGCTGATATCCAGCCTCTTCGGTCGCCCAAGTAAGATCTGTTATGTTAATCTCTGATTCGCTGAGGGATAATTTCACCATATGGAATTCTTTACTGTTCAACAAGTTGGACACATGTTTGTGTATGTCTTCCCCCATTTTTGGCCAGTAGGCCACCTGTCGCAGCATCTGTCCCGTATTCACCTCGCATCGGTGGCCG